GGATCAGTTTCCTTCCCAAAACCAAAATAAATGCAATCAGATAATGGCAGTCACTTCACAGCAGGAATAATCCAAGAATGGGTGAAAACTGAAGGGGTACTGTGGGTGTTCCACATCCGCTACACCACATCCACAAGCCAGTGGGATAGTAGAAAGGACAAATGGTCTTCTAAAATGGTTTTTGAGACCTCAGGATCCAAAGTGGCCTGATCAGCTGTGGGACACTGTGACCAAAGTCAGTGACCCATGGAGAGTAGATGTCTATGACTTACAGCATTTTGCCCCACAACACCTACCACGCCTTCCGGAAACGAAAGGACTGATGATCCCCGGAGCTCCATACATTTTCCTGGTCAGCCAGTACTGACAGGCATGCCAACTACCAGTGAGGTCCTGCTGGTCTTAAAAGACACCCCTGAACATGCATGCATGGGTAGCCACAGATGCCCAAGGCAGAGAACACAAAATCAACACCAGATGGATGATTCCTTCTTTTTAAAACTGGTCCAAGTAGGACCAAGTTTTCTTTTCTGTCTCCTTCTGCAGGTATTCCATGCAAAGATGTGGCTGAAAATTTCCACAGTTCTTTGCTGCAGTGATAGTTACGTACATGTTTTATCTTAATATGTTTTGTGATATTTATACTCTCATGTGTTTTGTCTCAGTAATTTTGCAGTATGTGTATAAATGTCATAAGCATTGTTTTGGGCTGTTTGTGTCTCCTCTCTGGTTGCCACAGGAGGTGGAAAAGATTCCTTCCTGAATTTAGCTTGGAAGCTCAGACAGGATTTCATATGATTATGAAATCAGATTTGTATATCCCTTCCCACCTCCTCAGAGCAAGGTATAAAATTACTTTGAATTGAGAAAGAAGTGTAGTTTGGTGCCAAAGGAACCACATGTAGTAGTGGAAAGCAATGCATGAAGCATGATCGAACAGAGAAGGGGATTGACAGAGACTGAGGTGGCAGCTAGAAAGTTTTCTCCAGCTGTAAGCAAAGAAGTCTTAAGTGGTCAAGATGTCAGAAGAAAGGATTTTGGATTTGGAAACTAGTGAAGTATTTAGTAAGTTAGGAAGGTATTTGGTTTGAACCCAGGACGCTGTCTAGAAAAATATGCAGATAGGAATGGCTAGAGGTTTTGTTATACCTTTGATCCCCCTGAGGCAACCAGAGTATTATGTAGCAGAACTTTTACTTGATGTAACTTTCCAATGGTGCACCCTGATATTCCCCCTTATCCTGGCATCTGGATCTCTAGCACTGTAATAAGATAATTGACTGTAATATGGACCCTAGGGACCCACCTGAAACTAGGTTGGTAGAAGGGGTAAAGGTGGTAGTACAGGAAATGTGCGCTTGTTTGGGTTACAATGGTATCTGGACTTGTAAGATTATCAGCTCCAAAACGTAAGGCAGTCTAACTGTTGAAAATTTGCCTTATCCTTAAGGTTTCTATTTTTTGGCGAGGTGTGCAATTGCATTGCAATAGAGAATCTTAAACTGGCCATTTTGGAGCTCAACTTGCAAGTCCAGCAAGTATCAAAAAGGATTTTATAAAACTGTCTAACCCTCAATAAATTGTTACTAAATGGGCAAGGAGTATGTGAAATGCTGAACCTCACCAATACGAAAATGTTGTTTTAAGAAGCACAAGCAAAAGTAAAGAAAATTTCCAACCAGTCTGGTGAACTCTTCCAGTCACTGCTGCCGAAAGACTGGTTCGATGAACTCTTCCCCCTAGATCCTGATTTGCATCTTGCTTGCCATCTCTGGAACTCACAGGGTGAGGGATGATAGCTTGTATAGGGTGGAATCCCTATACTGACTGGACCAATATTTTTGATTATCGAAGTATTGTCAGCTATATGACTTCTTGTACACTTTCCTCTTTTTCCTCTCCTTTTTTTTCTCCCTCTCTCTGCTAGGTTAGAATCCCACTACTGCCACCATGGAAGAAGAAGCTCCCATGTCCATTGTTCTGGTCTCAGTCATTGTTTTAAGCCTTGGCACCATGTGGGAAACTGGAGAAAATGATTACTGGCTTAAAATAATTAAAGGGATGGGGGCAGGGCATGTCCTGCATAGGTGGGATGGTACACTGCTCCACCCCCTAACCTCCTGAAGCCTCTGGTCCAGCCCTAGAATGGCTATTAGCCACTGACACAGCAAAAGCCCCACCAAAGGGGGAATACCCTGAGAGACCAGAGCAGATAAAAGCAGTTGCATAGGCACCTGTGGTCACAGTCCAGTGTTAGGATTTCACAGTAGCTGAGATCACACTGGAATTCAAGCAATGATTTTTAGTCTTTCTCTCGTCCTCCCCCAATTTCTTGTTCTCAAAATCTTAAGAGTTGGATGGTTTGGAGTTCGCTAAGCCAATGCCTTGTGAAATGCTTGATTTTGATTGAATGCTGCTTCAAAAGTTGCCAAGTACCCTTATTTTCTAAAGTTTGTGAATAAAAGTTTGTAGTTTAACCTCCTGAGAATGTTGCCTCATTTCTCCTGTGTGCTGCCTTGGGTATAAAAAAGGGATAAGAAACTCGTTGAGCAGGTCTGGGACTTTACAAGAGGCAGTGTAAAGAAGCAGCTCAATTGTGTCATGGTCTGGCACTACATGATCATGTGGGATCTTAGCAAAGCCCAGCCCAAATAAAAGTCTGCCAGTAGCAAAACGTAAGCATAGGAGAGGGGACTTAAGAGTACCAGACCAACAGTTGCTCATTAATCAAAGTAAACAAATTCAGAAGCAGCCAAAGTAACTATGTCACAAGCCCTCATTATAATTAATTTTATCCAAATAGTTATTTTTTATAGTTCATTTTATCCAAATGAACTAGTTGTAAAGAGGAGTAAGGTGAACCATTCAGACCCTGGAAGGAATCTTCCCCAGGGTATTGTGTTAAGTCTCATATCAGGTCATCCTCTGGGACAGGTTAGTTCTGTAACACGTTTGGTTTTGCGCACTTCCTTTACCTTATGTCTGCCTTGTGATAGTGCTTTGCTAAGCAGCATTTGCCGTCTGTAGCTCCAGATGGTTGCAACCAGCTAGGCTGATCCTGTTCCATCCATTGGCTGACTTTGGTTAAGGGACAGATGGCATGTCCCCTCTTTTCTTGTATTTACCTCCTTGACAAAGTCTATTGTTTTATTCTGCTCCACACAAAAATCACAGGACAAAACATGCTAGCTCTGTTGTATTCAGCGTAATAAAGTTCAGCCTAACCCTGGTTGATTTTTCTTGCTTTGAGACTTAGGAAAAAACATTATCAATCTTGGTCTTCATATGCCTGAGAAGATGTTTTTATGCCCCAGTTGATCTTAGCAGGTTCTCAGAGACCCACTGTGATAATACATGACTTCTAGGAAGCCTATAGAGAAGAGGATACTTTGCTTCCATTTTTCCTGCTGTTCAGCTATTCATATCTTGGCACTTACATGTCAGCAGGTGCGTAAAGAGTTGTGCTGTGCCAATGCCAAGACTGGCCCAGAAGAGAGATTTCTTGTGGGGTACTTTACACTTGCAATATTTTTTGGGTTGTCCATCATAACCTATTTTTTTTCCTGGCCTCTGTGCACTAGTCAATTAGTCCAAACTTATTCTGAGCAGGCACTGATAGCTGTCATAACAGATGGACAACTGTGCTGGAAACCAAGAAACTATGTACTGTATGCACACTGAGGGAACAGTGTACTGGTTCAGGTCATTCACATAACTGACTGGCCGAAGTCTGCGTGTCTGTGGTTAGAACAAGGTGCCATTGATTAACTGCAAACCTCAATTTTAACTTTCTGAAGTCAGAAGCTAATGAAACAACTTATGCCTACACTATTATACATGCTAGTAGTTTGCAGGATGTGCTATGCTCACCCCATATTTCTTTCACTGATCCTCTAAATGAGCTGTAAGATCATGAGCTGCATCAGTTTGGACATAACTGAATACTTCCCTTCAGTCTCAGTGAAAGTTCTATCTTTTGGCTCTCAAACTTTAAACCTGGACTCAGCATTACTATTTAGAGATCTCCTGTAAATGGTCATTCAAAAGCTCCTGGCCCAGGTATTGGGTTTTACTGCTATGAACAATAAGCCTTTTTTATTATTAGAAAACTATGGCTCAAATTTAAGGTAAGAAAGCAGAGGTGTTTATATTAGAAAATTACTTGCCACAGCTAAGGTAAGCTAAAACTATTATTTCTATACATTTTTATGGGTTTCTATTGCTTTTGCCTTTCATGACATCAGGATAACTTGAAAGAATATGTGAACACTTTGGCAAAAACTCAGCCTACTGTAAACTTTACCTAATCCATTTGTCCTGTCCTCAGTCTACAGGAAATAATGGTCTTTTTCTGGGCCCTAGTAAATAATGTCTGAGAAGAACCAAGGAAAATTTCATACTCACAAATGAGCAGGGAACTAGCAGGATACTCTTTTCTGTGGATCCTGGTCTATGAATTGTGTGGATAGTCATCAAAGATTTTTTAGTTGGTTGTTTTTTTTTTTTTTTCTAAAGCTGTTTTGATGGCTGACACAGAAAAGTGCAAATATGAATTTACAGGCTTCTGTTCAGGAGTGAATGTTTCATATTGATATGTTGTATGAATTCCAAGTGATATTTTAGCTGATTTTCCATTTATTTTCTATCCTGTTAGTGGAGAAACATTATTTATGTGCCACATCTGCTACTAAAGTGTAATATTCACTTGTAATTTGGCCACAGGCATGTAAGTCAAAAAATGAGATTTTTTTTTTCCTGGCTAAAAGTTAAGGAAAAAAAAAAAAAAAGAAAAAAAAGAAGAAGAAAAGTTAAAACCTCAATGAATGCAAAGAGTGATCCAGATCCAAACTGTCGATTATAAGTGTATTTGTTCAAAGAACAATAATGCCCATATCTATCCCTAAATCCTTTGTTAAGTGACCCATTTTGCTATCTAAAGAATGCAACTAATTTTTCAGAAGTATGTATTTAAAAATGTCTTGTCTTTTTTTTCTCCTTAGTTTGTTGTGACAATGTTTTGGAGCATCTATATATATGACAGGGAACTGGTTTACCCAAAACTGCTCGATAATTTTATACCAGCATGGCTAAATCACGGAATGGTGAGTAAAGTAATGCAAACACTTCCTTGCATAAACAAAAGTGTAAGACACTGATTTCTCTGTGCATGTTTCTGCATACTCTTGGTGCTGATCCCCTCAGAAGTGATTAAGGAACATGACTTGCAAGGAAGAGTAACATCTTTCCTTCCTTGACTCTTAGAGTCATATTTGAATCCTTATTAGGTTGAAGCTGGAGATTTGAACTAAAGTGTCCTACATCCCAGGCTTGTTGTGGGGATCAGCTCTTTCCTGTGTAAGGTAGCTTTCCCAGATAAATGTCACTGTGGTCATGAGGAAGAAGCTGTTCCATAAAACAGAAGTTCTGAATTTGACAAATCTTGCTCTAAAATGACAGAAACACTTACCTGAATATTTTTTTACCAATATACCAAAGTATAATTCTTGATGAAAATGTTTTGGTTAAAATGCTTTTTAAAAAAAATCTCATATTTTTTTGACTTGTATGGTTTTAGAAAAATAACTCAAGCACACCAAACTTATCCAGCAGAACCTGTATCTGAATATTTTTAATAATGTGGAATTATATGTGGAATCAATGCAAAGCTTTAAAATTAATGCATTGGTAATCATAAAGGTAGTTTCTTGAGAAGAAATCTGAGCTTTTAATCCCTCTCTTCCATGTCAAGTCAGACGTCCTTTCTCTCAACCATATGTTTAAATGCCAAGGGAAAGTTAAGGCCATAATTTGCCCTCAGGTACTTTCCACTGTTTATGCAGCATTTGGAGCTAGAAAGTGTCATGTTTGCTTCTCTAGTTGCATCTGTGCAAAATGTTTCATTATTACTTTGTTTTCCTCATCAAGATGTAGCAAACCATTTGGCACTGCTGTTCATCAGTAGACAACAGCAGAGCTCATCCTTCTGGGTGTGTGCACTTTATCACCACAGCAGATCAAGCTTTGTCCATCATTGCTGTGCTTGATAAATTGGTCCATTGTAGAGTGGGGCAGATGACACTGCTATTTATTTGCTCCCCAGATTTTGTGTCAAAGGAGCAGTGTGAGAGTTGTTACTGACAAGAGGAGCATCAGCTTCTGCTAGATCCTGTACTGTTTTATGATGTTTTGAAAGGAACAGCATGATATTACGTGTGTCTAGAGCTGAGGAAAGAGTCTGATGACTCCTGCTATGTTTGTTCAGGCAGTTCTCCCTTGAGCTTTGAGGCTAAAAACTGAACACTTGCAAACACTGCCAAACCATGCACATCTTGATTTTTTCCCCACAACAGATCAGTGCCAGCTCTGATGGCATTTCTTTCAGGTGGCATTATACTATATGCTATATACTATATACTGGAAGTGCCTAACCCATAGCATTTTTCATGAATGTACATTGTGAAGCAGTTGGCAGCAAGTGGCCATAGGTATTCATGAAGTCTTCTTTGTGCTGTAACTAAAAGGCAACTCAAGCTCAGGTTGCTTTGTAGAAATGTATCCTTAGTGAAATATGTGAAGATGGCTTTTGTTTGAGATTTTTGAACATCACAGAGTTTGCTGAAATGTATTGTGTCCAAGTATTTTTGACTTTTTTTTTCAACTTGAAATATTGTAGAAAGCATTTTTGCAAAGGAATTGGTTTCTGTGTCAGTCTCCATTTATCCAAGTGTTCTTCGGTTAGATCACAGGGGAAGCTTATGGCTGTGAGGCTTTTCACCATATTTAGCATGTGTTTTCTGGTGTTTTATCCATCGTTTTATCCTCACCAGATTTCATGCTAATTAATTCTGATGCGTTGCTCATCATAGTATGAAAGGGTTATTAAACTACTTTGAGAATACTTGCACCTCACTTAGTTGTAGTTAAAATTTTGACATGGCAAATTTTAGAGAATAGGATAGAGGTCCACTTTGTGAAAGGGCCTCTGTACCTCTGGGAATACAGTTTAGAAAAGTCAGGATCCCTGGCTATTGCTTTATCCCAAAAGAAACATTTATTCCCATGTATTCCTGCACATTTTGCAACAATCGTGCACATGGAATGATGACTGTTCTGAAAGCAAGGGTGGCCATGCTGGAACCCAACCTTGCACAGCAAAACTCACACAAGAGACTCTCCTCTGTCAGTGAGAGGTGGGTTGTTTAGCTTCTGTTGTATTGCTGATTAATCTCACTTTTGTGTGATCTTCCCACAAAGTATCTGGTACAGCTGCTAAGGATCTGAGATCAAACATTACCAAACATAACACACATAAAACTGTGAACACTCTATCCAGATTTTTTTCACGGCAGTTTCCCCAAAATATTTATTTAGGACACACACACCAAAAAAAAAAAAAAAAAAAAAAAAGCAAAAAACAAAAAAGAATCCCACAAAAAAAAGCCAAAACCAAAAAAATACATTTTGCACAATGAAAAAAGCCTTCTACTGTATTATGATCAGCTGTAACAGCTTGCTCAAGTGTCAACATCAAGCTGCAAAATCCATACATAGAAAGGGAGTGAAAAATCATGAAATATGGCCATAATAACAGCAGTCATATTTCCATTAGTAATATGGGCATGTATTAAGATATTTGAGAGTATTCACACTTTAGAAGCATTTTAAGGTAACTATCTTGAAGGCTCTGTGAAGAAATTATTACCCCTATTTTCTTGAACACGCAGTAGTGTCTTGTTAATACTCAGAGATACCAGTCCTTATAGCAACACTTCTTCAGCATTCAAAAAAAATCAGAATTATAGAAAAAATTTCTTTCTAGCAGTGGGAAGCATGAGGGAAATTAACCTTGGAAATATGCTGTCCCATTACCAAGTCAAATTTAATGTTTTTTACAAAGTTTCATACAAAAAGAGGAGAGGCTTATTGCTGTGCAGAAACTATTCACCATAAAATTGCATATAGTTTCAAGAACGTCTTTCTATTGCATATATATATATATATATATATATACATACATACATACATACATATACACACCCTGTAATAGTTACAAATATAATTCCTGTATTTGGGAAAATCTGTGTATTAAGTAGTGCCTTATGGTACCAAACAGTACCTCATGTGCAGATTCATACACCTGTGAAAGGTGTCACTAACAGAGTTGTACTGTGCCATAAAACTGATGTATTGCATCATCTCCATCAGTTAATTAATCCATAACCAATGGTATCACTATGACTTGATAAATGACCAGGGAAATCAATAGCAGGGCTGCTAGTGATTTGACCAACACAAGGATTTAATCTCTGTTCATTATCTGAAGGAGCACATTTGAGTAGCTGAGGCTAAGCTTCTGTCAGCAGAAATAACTACCTGTCGAAAGAGAGTTGTTGGAGAGTAGGGCTGTGTCTCAGCCTTGGTCTGTTTCTGAAGTTTCAAGTGCACTTTCTGGATTTATTAGTTATGCAGATTAATTCATCTTTGTGGGCTACAGTTTCAGTTGCCAAATCACTGAACTCTTTCATCAAAGATGTCATTTGTTTTCTGGAGAATGTCCTGCCGTTTGGAACTATATCAGCTCATAATTCCAAAGGCATATTTTGCATGGGAAATATTCCTTTCCATTTTCTGATGGCTGGCTGTCTGATCTTTATCATTGTGAAGAATTTTTAATTGAAGACTAACCTTTAGTGTGTAAAACAAATGTGTCATAGTAGAAGGATTTTTATCAGCTCATTCCTTGCAACTTTTTATGCTGGGACTGGCCAGGTTGATGCATGGATAACAGTTGTTTTCAGAAATTATATTCTCTTCAATATTAGCATAGGCTGTAAAACTAGAGGTTGCCCCTATTCTAAGCAATGCCCACATAAACAGATATGTAGACTGAATTCATTTAAGCTTGAGCATTGCTGATTTTGAGCCAGGTTACATGGCAGGACTGCCTGCAGTATGTGTCCAAGTTAGCATACCATTTCAGCAAGAGTCCTTCTTTGGTTTTTGCAGACACTGTCTCAAATTTGTTTTAAAAATGTGAATCATCTTTTGTTTGTGGGAAGGAAAGCAAAATACAGAGATAGAAATTACTTACGGAGGAGTTGAAATGCTCTGGAGGTCGGAAACAATGTAGTGTCTTCATATGAAGACCCTAGAGGAGAGGTCAGGAAGCGGGGAAGAGAAATATGCTCTGCATCTGTGGAGTTAGAAAAATGATTACTGTCTGGGTTCTGTGCCACTGCAGTCTATATAAGCTCTTCCAATTTTGTATTCTGTTATTTTTTGAGCTGCTTTTGGGAGATGGGAAACAAAGGCATTTCTAGAAAGACTTGCCCTCTGTCCTAGTATCTAAGAGAATGCAAAGAAACTGGGACAAATAGCAGAAAAAGACAAGTTATGGAGAGAAAGGAGCCTATCCAAGAGATGTGTTTCTATTTATTTTCAAGTTGTCTTTCTTTTTTTATCACTGACGGCTCAGCTGAGAAGTTGAGCTCACCGGTGAGTGGTACAAAGTCACACCAACCACATCTCCAATTGTTTGTCCTAGCAGCCTTGTCCCAGGTCTGGTGACCATGGCTTGTGTGTCTTTTTGTTTTAATGGTGGAAAGGACATAATCCTGATGGAGTGAGTCTGAAGGAGGGCCACAAAGGTGATTAGAGGGATGTAACACCTCTTCTATGAGGAAAGGATGGGAGAATTGACATTGTTCTGCCTGGAGAAGTGATGGCTCCAGGGTGACTTTATTCCAACCTTTCAGTACCTGAAGTGATCCTTCAAGACAGCTGGAGGGACTTTTTACAAGGATATGTAGTGACAGGACAAGGGGGAATGGCTTCAAACTGAAAGAGGACATGTTAGTTAATCAGACATTATGAAGGAAATCATTCCTGTGAGGGTGATGAAGCACTGGAACAGGTTGTCCAGACAAGCTGTGAGTGTCTTTTCCCTTGAAGTGTTCAAGGCCAGGTTGGATGGCGCTCTGAGCAACCTGATCTAATGAAAGAGGTCTTTCCCTTTGGCAGGGTGGTTGGAACGAGATGATCTTTAAGGTCCCTTCCAATACAAATCATTCTGTGATTTTATCAAAGTTGTTTTTCACGTATA